GTCGAATTTTCGCAACAGGGTTGGCTCGATTCGTTCGCCGGGACGTGAAAAGATTTCTCGGCCGGTCTATCGCGGAACAATTGATTCACGCACGCTGGTCGTGGAAACAAGCTTTCCTGCACGCGCAATTAAAATTACGCCGCCCTATTTCCGCTCCCCCGTCGCGGAGGGAGCAACACAAGGGGAGAAAGGTGTCGCGCGCGCACAGTTTGCTCGCAGGTGCGTTTTCACCGCACGGTTCGCTCTCAGCGTTTCCAATTTTCCTCCTTCTTTCGTCGCAATATATTCTGTTCTCTATTGTTTTTTTTTCCTCCTCCCTTCTATTTCCTTTTCTTTTTTCTCCTCCCGACGCTGACCAGCGCGAACGAGAACGAAAGAAAATAAGTGAATCGTCCGCGAACGAAAGGTTCGAAGGGAAAACGAGAATCGATAAGCACGGAACGAAAAGAAAGAACCGAATCGAACTGAAAAGCAAAGACACACGGGGAACAGAATAATACAGAAGAGAATCTTGGCAATGAACCCAACGGTAGTTATGTCCAGTAGACTTTTGACAACCAGAGAGCAGAAATCTTCACAGCGATAGTGACTTACTTACGCGTTCACAGATCAAGTGTGTAATGCGTAACGTGTGCGTACAGGTACAATTCTCGTTAAAAAAAGGAATATATAATTCGTGCTGTTCGACTTCCCTCGCTATTCTTTTAGCAAGTGGAAACGGTAGCGAGGTTTCAGACGAATTACCGGTACGTGTCGCGCCGGATGAATTGAATCTAATCGTATTATCGTCCTGGACATACGCATCGGTTGTTATTCATATTCTTTTTTTTCCAACGATATGTCCGACTAACGATGTACGTGTACCACTCGTAAAAACTTGTGTGGAATCGTTCCAGACAACGAGAATCCGTTTAAGTTCTTTCTCGTCTGCCGGTACATATATATCGTGTGAACATTAATATATATGTATATGTATATACATATATATATATATATATGCATACATACATACATATTTGTGTATGTATATATGTACATACATGTATGTCGAGCCGACTAACTTTCGACAAAGAAATAATAGAACTCATTCAACACCGAGAAACGTCGAAAAAAGGGTAAAACGAACTAAGCACCAATCCGGTAAAGACACACCTATGGGCACTTAACTTTTTTTTTGGGCTCGGCATGTCATCCTATAATCATGTTCACGAGCTAACATCGACATTCTAGAAACTCCAACCGAAACTCTGATCGTCCGACAAGTCATTCTTTCGTTATATCGCCTGCTTCATCCTTCGTTTTCTATCGTTCGCTTCTTCCTCCCCCCCCCGCGATTTTTCCAATATCTTCTAAACCCGTTCGATTCGAGCGTCGAGCTTCAATCGAAGTCTGTTTCTACGGAATCAGCAACAAGATTCCGCGAGCAACACCGTTCACCTTGAACTTTGAGAATTTCCGTGGGGTGCAGGGCGCGATTAAACGAAAATGACTTAACCCGGCGATCAGAATTCAGCCTGCGAGGAAGATTCTCGGAGAACGTGGGAGCGTGCTACGTAACTTACCTCGTCGGTATCGGAGCCAACGAGGAAAAGGTCGAAGGGTATGGCGGCCACCAGGTCGATGACGAACCAACCCCTCAGGTAATGGACGGCTATCTTTGCAGGATGGGACACCACTTCGTCGTTGCGGTTCACGAAAGTCGTGCGAAAATTTATGATGATGTCCACTATAAACGTGACGTCGACTGAAAAACGAAAAGTCTCGTGAGAACACCTAAGACGCTCGACCACCGTGAACGCGGAGAAATGTTACTCTAAATACATCGTAAAGGCACAAGACTAAACGAACAGACTACACGAACTTTTACACTAGAGAATACACACATTTCCCATGGATCTACGCTTTGGCTAAAGTATTACTTGATCGTTCGTACGATAAACAATCGATCCATCGATCCGGGAACATCGAATTTTGGAAAAGGATAAAAATGTCGATGCTTGGAATATTGTACTTGTTCCAGGTTTGTTCTCTGTTAATCGCGAACGATCAAATGTTTCTCAACGATAGTACATCTATGAATGCCAGCACACGACAAAAAAGCTCCGACTGGTAGCAATAATAGTTGGACAAATTGCGATCCAGCTACGCACAGTGGAATAAGTCGGTCTGCGGTCGGACGTCGAATATTTCTATAGAATCGGACCCGTGCGGATCGCTGTTCCGTCTCACCTATGAAGTCTATGATGACGATGGGATCGTCGCTGTATTTTTTGTTCTTCCTGCTGTTGTAATCCGGATCCGACAGGACGAAGGCGGCGACGTACGGGGTGAATATCGCTGTGTACATGACGAGCAGCAGTATCACCCAATCCCAGACCGCCTTGAAAGGTGAGTAGTGCAGTATGGTCCACTTGCCGATTCTAGGGGACTGTAATTTGTACTCTGGGAGGATGTCGTTTCCAAGGGACAGCACCTGAAGCAGACAAGTATCGACGCCTTGGGAGAGAACTGTCGGACAACACCTTTTCTCATCTTTCTCCCGTGATCGAAAGAAAACGTTGTTAGCCTCGTTCCGTCTCGACGCGAGCAATTTTTCTTAAGTCCAGATTTTACGGAGGATATCGAGAGAGGTCCCGTGAGAAAATAAATGCGCCAGGATATATCATTCTTTCCCGATCGCGTCGCTGAAACGTATCAACGACAAGAGAACGATCAACGCGGCCGTCGGTTTACAGCTTTCCTCCATTTACAGTGTAGTTATTTATTTTCTTTTTTTCATTGAACGCCACAGCCGAAAGCTCGCACGAAGAACGAAACGTTACGTTATTTTTCCCTCGGGTTGTTTTCATTGGCCGCGGCCGGAATTGTTTTCACGGTTCGGATATTCCCATTGAACGTTGGATCGCGGATCGATCGATTCGACAAGAACCGCGCGATGCAACGGGCGGAGTGTTTCCCACTTCGTTCACCTGGCTACACATCCTGTTTACTTCGCGGAACAACGGGGGCAATAGAAAAGCAACAGCAGGGACGCTGTTGCGCGTTTCGTATTTTCAATTACCATCTCTCTCTTTCTCTCCCTCCCTCTCTCTCTCTCTCCCTCTCCCTCTCCCTCTCTCT